TGATATGATGATGATGGTTGTGATGATGATGGTGATGAAGATGGTTGTGATAATGACGAAGATGGTGGTGATGATGATGGTGATGATGAACCGTAAAAAACATTGGAGCTAGCATTAAAACGCTTCCGAAGGATTTGATTGTTTTTATTATTATTGTTGTTATTACCTTTGGATTTATTATTATTATTATTATCGTTATTATTATTGTTGTTGTTATTATTATTATGGAGATAATTATTATCGTTATAATTAATTTTGTAATAATCAACGCTAGTTTTAATGGCAGCCGGGCTGATGTTGTTGTTGCTGTTGTAATTAGCAAAGTAATTGTAATGACTCTTATTGTTATTGTTGTTGTTGTTATTATTATTATTATTGTTGTTGTTGTTGTTATGCGTAATATTGTGGCCAATAAAATCGGCATAAAAGCGGTTTTGTACCGATAAACTGTTTGGACCGGCTAAATAACCGTGGTTTAAATTAATCGGTGAAAGGGTACATCCCTGATGGTGATGACTATTAAGATGACGTTGTTGTTGTTTTTGTAAAAGTTGATGTTGTAGATGGTGTTGTTGGTTTTGATATAGATATTGTTGTTGATGTTGATGATGATGATGATAATGATGATGATGATGGCGGTGATGATGATCGTTGCCATTGTGGTTGACTTCAATTACGCGGCTGGGAAAGGTCACTGATTGTATCGGGCGTATTGTTGACGTCACCATGACGTCATTGTCACTGTTGCTTCCGTCATCATCATCATCATTATCACCGTTGTTTCAATCATTACCATCATCACCATCATAATCACCATCATCTTCACCAACATCTTCACCATCATCTTCACCACCATCATCACCGTCGTCATCATCATCATCACCTTCAATGCATTTATATTCAGCCTCTAAATAGGACGTAAAATCAAGCGGACATGGTTTGGACCGGACGATAGCTGGATCGCTCACCTTCGAAATGTATTTTAATTTCATCACATTTTAAGTTTTGTATTAACTGTTATTAGAGTTCCTTTACAAAGTTAATTAAAGTAACTTTGAGTAACAATTACAGTCTATACGGTTGGTGTAGTAGCCAAAGTGATCCGAGCAATTTTTGCTCTGATGTAACACAACCAATTTCATTGTAAATGTTGTGGTAAATTAGAACACGTCGTTCAAGTCAGCATCAGCGGTTTTAAAACTCTAACTTAATAATAACAATAATTAATAGCGATGCGTTTGACGGAGTTTGATTTACAAAAACAAGAAAAAAAAATTTCACCCTGACCTTGACTCGACACGACCTTGAACCGGAGCACTCGCGGTCGAACAGGGCTATGACGTCAGCATGGCAACCGAGGTATCCGTAGCCAGTGGTCACGCACCTTCAAGGAAAAAAGAAATAATAATATAATAAAATAATAATAATAATAACAATAATAATAATAAATAATAATAATAATAATTTTCTAACTTCCCGGCAGACATTCTACCATAGAGTGCCCTGGTCATGAGAATGACACTGCCTAATTTGCAATCGGCAACAAAGGTATCGGTCAGGCAGTATTCACTGGGACCTGTTTTATTATTAAAATTATTATTAAAATTAATACTATTTATTTTTATTATTATTATTATTATAACTAATAGGATTTCATAATTATTTCATTATTGATATTTGGTATTTGGGGTTAGAAAATAAAAGGATGTTCTCATTATTATTAATATTAATATTATTATTATTATTATTATTATTATTATTATTATTATTATTATATCAAACTACATTCCCGTATGGAAGACCGTTACTACTGCTACTGCCACTACTGAAATCAACAGAGTACTAATCTCCCCAGCATCTAAGCGTAACACCGACTCCGACCAATCGAAGTGGAGAATTTCAATGACGTCATTGAGTCACGTGCCATGTCGGTGGAAAAACCCACTGGGAAATTCCCGCCCTTTTCACACTCTTTTCATTCGATCAAAGAGCAGTAGTAGAGAGAATGAAAGTATGTGGTGACGACAAAAGAGTGATATTGTTTGTATGTGTGTGTGTGTGTGTGTTTGTGCGTATGTACATGTGTGTGTAAATATGTATGTGTGTGTCTATGTGTATGTGTGCCCGTACGTGTGTGCGTGTGTATTTTTAAAAAGTTTGTAAATATTTTATAGGACGTATCGATTGATTTGTGTAAGTTTTGATGAGGTTTTTCGTTTCTTGTTGTTCTAAAACGCGAGTGGAAATCACCCAAAATCGTGATAAAACTTTTGAAATAGAA